GGAGGTATGGAGCTTGGTAGTCTTGTGTTTTTGTTAGCTACTTGACTGCTCCAGAGAGAGAAAAGTGAAATACCCAAAATTATATGTTTATAAATATCAAACAAGTTGAACGTTTATATAAAATAACAATTCTTGAAAAGCAAAATGACAATATTTTTGTCAGATATCTTTAGTATATTCCAATAATTTCCTTTTCACAATATCAGAGGTTTTTCAACATGCACAATAATCATGTAATATGTTATTAGAGCTATAAAAACATTATAGCAACGAAACGGTTGCGTATACATTTAGAAAAACTTATAAAGTAAGTAAACAATGTACAATATAGATGGACAAAATTTGTTTTTTCAGATTATATAAAAATAATTTTCACACCAAACGATGTCAGCTGTAGTTAATAAAGAATACTTTGAAAAATAGCAAAAATATTTTCATGTTATCTCCTACAACAGTCTGCAAATGGTGGAAACTAGGAATCAAGATAACTAATTTTTCCTAGAGTCTGTATATGTTGTTTTTTTAATTTCTTTTTCCCGTGAAATGCTATGTGGGGTGAAAGGCTTAACGATAACTTTAGAAACTTAAATTGAATATTTGTTTCCCTTGTAGGAGTGGTGTTTCTTCAGTATCAGAAAGAAACCAAACGTTCTCTTCTGCCAAATGAGCTGACAACGTTGGATACAATTAAGGCTTTGTTTGTTCGATCATTTCCTAAACAATTAACTATGGAATATCTTGATTCTCCACACGTTAGGATTTACATTCATGACGCTTCAAAAGACATGTTTTACGAGCTAGAAGACTTGAGGTAAGTAAAGCTTATTGTTATTTTAACCCTGATTTATTAAATTAAAGCGCAACTATACTTGATTAAGAATAATACGTTAGCTCCCTTTTTTTTTATCCACTAAAGGATTTTGTCATCAGTTTTAGCACCCTCACGTCACATAAAAGAATGTAATTCATTAATCATTACTAATATATATACATTATCACACATATCTGTCGTAAAGAAGTTGCCCACATGTTGTACCAAATCCTTGTTTCGTAGGTTACTTCGACATTTATGTGAACATTTACATCGAAGTTTCCGGGAGATTTGGTTAGCTTTCGAATTATACTTTCTTGTACAACCTAAAGTTCACCATCAAAGCAAAACGTTTTTCATTTTACTGGAGAAAAAAAAAGCGAAGCGAAGCTCTATATCAGGCAATAACATCTGAAAGAAAAGCGGTTCTACCATTACTGAAATCCAATGGAAAATATTTATAAGAATGAAATAAACATTAGCTATGAAGAAAAAGAAAGATAATTACAGAACACTTTTCATTCTGTACTGCTATCTCCTATTTACATTTTATGGTCTCTTGGTGTGTCAGCTCTTCATCATTATGTAACATTCAAGAGGTTATTTACTATCCATGCTGTCATAATGAAGTTTATATTCCAGCGTTGATGAGTATAAATTTGTAGTAGAATTTGTTTGCTTTTACTCTGGAAATGTAGATTAATTCAATTAACATTTTCAGAGCAGCAAAAAAATAAAAAAACATTATTCGTAGATTATAGGTTTTGAACGTAATTTTAATATTTGTCATAAATCTACTTCTCAAAATATATTTACATTAAGGTAAAAACAAACTTATACTTCAATCATAATTTGGACGCTGGGGTAGATACTCAGACTATATATGTATCCCGTTTTACGCTTAGACTTTAACTTCTGATTTTATATATAAACGCATCTTGATGAATCGAGATACACTATTTCTCAACTTTTATTGTTAGAACATTGTTTTCTTATTGGAAATATCGTGCTATATATATGCATATTTCGCTACTCTGTTATTAACAATGCGGTATTTGTGATTATTTTGGCTTCATATTTTGTATTTTTCCAGACGTTAATCCCTCTGATGCGAATATTAATACATTATTTAAAATTGCAAATTTCATCACAATTACTGCATGCGTGTTGACTACGTTCTTTCATTGCCAGATTCCCTGTTATATATCTACACTTAGTTTTCTTTTTTTTCTATAATTAATGACAAAGAAAATAATTAAAATATAATTTTCACCTGCCTATGCTTATTTTATTTATCTTCATTTTTAACCTCGGAATTTGATCCTTTTACCAGAGGCATTGCTAGGCACTGGCACACGGGGCTCGTGCCCCGATTCTATTTGACAGTGCTCCAAATCCTCAGTTGATTTCTTGAAAAATCAGAATAGAAAACCATGATCAACATTATACTTAAACGCCGAAAATCCCCGTGCCTATGGGCTCCAGCCTCGAATCTTTTAAGTACCTAGCTACGCCTCTGCCTTTTACATCTCTTATTTTAATACAAAGCCATACTTGTATTTTATCTATTTGGGCGAGTGAGCCTTTGTATCCTATAATGTAACTATTTTTCTCAAAACATAACTAAAACAAATACAAGTTTAAAATTAAACTCTTGGTAATTATACAAGTTTTAATGTAGTCTTGAGGAGAAGTTTTTCCTCACAACATACAAGACGACCTGAACACATACAGCTTAAACGTATCACAGGGGAATACTGCAAACTGGTCTGACATTACTGCTAATGCACCAGTAACAAGACACGGATTGGCTGGCAAAATTCGAATCACCAGTAAAAGAAAACAAGTATTTGTAGCTTTAACAGAAAGAAGCGCCAATATCAGTTTACACAATCTTGCACTTAGGTTTTATAAAAGAACATTCATCAACGAGTTGTAGCATATTAGGAAGAAGCTTACAAAGAACATCAAACCAAATGTAGCTAACGCTCACGACTACACTCCCACGGATAATTGGAGAGAAACCAAGAATCAGCCAATCAATTCTAGACAAGAGACTATAAACCAGGCCAATATAAGGACTACACCATACTACAGGTAGTTTAAGCTAGAACATAATCCTTATAACGTTGTTTTTATGTTAATTCAAATATGAAAATGTGCTTTAACAGCAAATACGTAAACTAAATATTCTCATGTTAATAAAAATCCTCCTTATCTTTGTTTGTTTGACGTTAAGCACAAAGCTACGCGATGGGCTATCTGTGCTCTGCCCACCACGGGTATCGAAAAATGGTTTCTAGCGTTGTAAGTCCGCAGTCATACCACTGGGGTCCCTTATCTTTGTACAAGCGGTGTCTAGAAACTTTGTTTGCTATTGTGAACTATGAAAAGTGTGACGAGTTTTCTGAAATGAGACTGAATTTAGTAACGGTAAATGGATATATTGAATTGAGTATACACTATATGTATTAGCCGATTAATTTTCTTCAACTAATAAATTACCCGTCAAAATTCAAGGAAAACATTAGCTACGCAAGCAGTGTTGCACACCTTTATTTTGCGTGATAATTTCTATGTTGTTATCTATTTTCAAATATATCTGTGTAGTCAATTCTGAGAACCCCCTCAAACCTAACTCCCTCGTTAGAGATCCCCATTATCAAAACTACAAAAATCTAAACGTAGATATATATTATATTTATATTAACCCGTGGACGCAGCCCCTTGAGTCCCCAAACCACTTTAACTTCCCCCATATGGGAGCTAAATCTTGAAAGTTTCCAAACTCTGAATTTAAGCTATTATTTTGAAAGCCTCTTATAGTATAATGCCATTTATAAATGAATTCTGTTCTATCAAAGCTGAAAACCCTCAAATCCTGAAATCCCCATTTTAGAGCTTACAACTATCGAATTTATTGTTCGTTTTTACTTTGTATGCTTCAAGAATATACATGCAAAAGTTAAAACCGTTTCACACAAAATGATGGGAGGGGCTCAAATATTACTTAAGCAAAGACACGTAGGCACAAATGAGAATCACTAAATGAATAATGCATTACGTAGATGCACGTAATCACTATAGATTTACAATGTCGGGCTTTAAAATATTTAAATCCTATGATTAGGGAATTTTTTTTTACTTCTTTTCAGTATCGACGCAGTTTGGCCCTGTGGCTGATTCTGAATTTCGAAGGAGCCCGAACTTTAAGCTGTGGGTGCGTTATAAAAGTAACACTCAATCCCTTAGCTGCCTTTAGCATGATTTGTGAGTCGTAAGTTAGTGCTGACTGCCTATCTTCCCTCTGGCTAATTGTTCGAAAGTAAATAACCTAAATAGATTTGTCATAAAATACTAAATACAGATACAAATACTTTATTAATAGTGGATTTATGTCCATTTGTTTGTGTTTATGGAGCAATTCAAACTAATTATGTTAATTTAGTTTATCTAACTTTTTTCATAATAAGTAAATAATGTTGTTTCTTACGTAACTCTAATATAAAGCATGAAAATATGCAAAAATCACTACAAAACGAAAATCTGTTAGCTCTAAGAAAACAAAAAAAAATTATTCCCACTGAGTAAACGTTAAATCTTTTCTTTATCCACGCAGTGATATTTGCCATAGCATAGGTTTGAAACTATCCCGTTAGATAGCTCCAACACGCAGTTGGGTTATTATATGCTTACACTTTGCTACAGTGGTATTATAAGTGTCGCATTTAATAAGCTTTCCAACAAGGATGTCGCAAAACATGGGAACTATAGATTATCTCAACTGATAAAAGAACTAAAAAACTAAATTCTGTGGGTGAAAAAAAAACGAACTAGTAATTATTTGATTAATTTTTATTCTTCTATATAGCAAGACACATCGTGATGGATCAGTAAGCTCAGGCATTGTGAACTGTCCACAATAATGTATAAAGTAATTACACAATGTTATTTTTTAAAATGCCATCTTATGTACTGTAAGCAGGAAATAACACGGGACTATAGAGTTACTAGATTTTCAGAGTAAAAAACTGGAACATTTTTTTTTTGTCATATAGTGACACCGTAACAGCCCTGAAACGGCTTAACTTACAATAATACACTTTTTACATTTACTAAATAGTTTGATGTTTTTATACCAAAGACGAACAAAATCCGTTAAAAGCTCATATAGTTAAAAACAGTGAATTAAATACGCACCTAAATTATTTTGAACTTACCCAAAGAAAAATATTGCTTCTTCCTTTTCACGGATGGACATGTCTTCCGATCTCAATTCCTGCTGTTTTCCAATGACAGGTTAGGATAAGAAAAGCCCTCCCCCCTCTCAGGCGTGACAGCGGTATGTCTACGGACTTACTACGGTAAAATCCGGGATAAATTCCTCGCGGTGGGTTTGCTCTAACACAAAGAAACAAAGTTATGAAAACGTAACAGAGATTTATCTTTGTCAGATAACTCTTCAAGTAAAATTTAAAGGAGCAGTGTTTATTAATAAACCGTACACATCAAACTTGCATTGAGTTGCGGAGAAATTGGGGCAGTTTAATGCTTTTACTGTTTCTGTTCAGGCCAAAAAAGAAAAAGGTTAAAAACTGGGACGTTTGGTAACCCTCACACGGGGGCAAGAAACTTCTCAACTTTGGGTAGAAACCAGGTCCTATAGATTGAGAACTAGTAACATTTAATTTAAGAGTAAAAAACACAAAAAACGACTTTTTTGGCACAATGAAAGGTGGTTACAGCCGACTAGTTTTTCCCTTTTTCGTAAGGGTGACCCTTTGAGAACACCAGGTGGTGATGGCACTATTACCCCCGCCCCCCCCCCCCCACGTGGCACGGCTGTATGTCTACGGACTTACAATGCTAGAAACCGGATTTCGATACCCTTGATGGGCAGAGTACAGATAACCCATTGTGTAGCTTTGTGCTTAACTTCAAACAGTACCTAAAGTATCGTAAAATGTTTGTTAACCAATAACTTTTTGCGAAAGGTCACG